ATAGATACTCCCTGCGTGCGAAAAAAATGGACACTCGGGCTATGTTGGTGCGCCCATCTTACTTGCGACGCCACACGGATATAATCTCACTAGTGCTATGAAAGACATGCCGCTCCAAAACGTGACTGCCACTCGATGTACGTCCATGTTCATTTACTGCGGCTGGAAGGTTCACTGTAGCTAAGTAATGATGATGCAGAATGATGCGGAAAAGGGATGACTGTAACTCGAGATGCTTAGGTCCATTATTACACTTCAAACACGGTAATGATCATGATAAATGAAGCTGTGCCGCGACAAACGAACCAACTGCGCATGGGCAGTATGCGTTACACGCGATTACGGCACATTTGCAAGCTGATCCAGTGCCAACTCACGCAGACAGTGCACCCAGATTCTTTTGTCTACAGCATTCTGAGTCTTATATAGTACTCTCAACGACCCTACTGGTACTGCTGTTTGTAATGACAGGCATCTATCAGAAGAGGCAAGCTCGAGATGCTTAGGAAACTTCAAGCGCTGTATATAAAATGAGCTGCGACAAACGAATGAACTGCGCATGCGCAGTATGATTCGCAAGCTGCATTATATTGACGACGAAGAGAGCCAACTCACGCAGACAGGCTGCCACCTGTCAGTTTCTGGAGTTGCATTACATCCATAGGGCTAGTATAAAGTATAGCAGTGTAGCTTTTCAACTGTGACTAACATTTTGCATGGGGAGTGTCTCTGCTTATGCATGGGAGTGGGGCCTTAGTTTACTAGAAGACATTTTTACGCTGTTTTATAAGAATGATGACTGATTTTACATGACTAACTGCGGCAAAATAATGATGTAGTCACTGCAGTTCCTCGGGTCCCTGAGCAGGAAAAGCTCCAGGCAGTTTCAGATCCTCCAGAAACGAATCAATGCTCTGTTTCACAACGTGCTCCATCACGTAAATGTGGCAATATACTCGAACCTCTCCACATACGTACAGTGTCTTTGAGCTCAAAGAGTACGTTCTGAAGATGTCTGGGTTTGGTTTCTTGAAGTAGATGGCCAGGGAGAGGGGCGTTCTCGAGACCCATAGATCTTTCCCAAGCTCCTGCTCCAGCCCTTTCAACTTTCCCTCTGCATAGTCTGTGACCTCTAGCATGTGGGAGATTCTCCGAACCTGGTACTCGAAGTCTTTCGAGCTAAAGTGGGACCACAGTAAAGGAGCTATGTGGCCGTTGCGAGAACAGGAGAATGTCGGTTCAAGATCAGCAGTGAGGGCCAGCTGCGTGCCGGTCTTGGTAATGTACACCCCGCAGGGCCAAGGTGAACCCAAGTGTTTCGCAACGCTGGCAACTACAGAAGACACACTCTCTAGCCTGAAGTCGAATACAGGGCCCGGTTTTTTCTCTATCAGTCCACGACCGTACCCCATCTCCACAAACGGCATGTAGAACCCTGCAAGGGCTGCATCCACGTGAAACCAAAAGCCTCTGCGGGTCACCACCACCTCGCCGACAGGGTGGACAACTCTTCGCTCGTACATTCCGTTCTTCTTCAAAACTGGCAGGAGAGCTTCCTCGGCTGCTGCGACATCATCATATGCCCCCTTGAACGTGGAGCCGTAATTAAACACGATAATAATAGGGTGCCCCTTCCCTGAGAAGAAATCTACATACTTGGTGAGGACCTCGATATCTATGCTACCCGAGCCGGCATCGCCATTTTCACACGGGACTGAAAGAGGCCATGCACCTCCGAGCGGATTTTCCTCTGGGTACAGCTCTCTCCCTACCTCGTGGAACGTCGGAATATCGCACACCTGCAGTGCTTTTGCCACGCCAAAGTGGGCATCCGTTGAATAAAAACTAACCGGGCAGTGAGCGTTTGAGCTGTCAACTTCGAATTTTCCCTGCAAGTATGATTTTGTGTTGCCATGGTCAGGGGTTTGAGAGACGACAAACTTGCCAGAGAGATAGTCTCGGGCGGTACAGACAGAGAAAATGTTTGCTTCGGTGGAGCCAATAGGCAAGAGGTAGCCCCAGTAGGAATCTGGGTCTGACGGATCGTGAGGCCACTTGGCGTGCCACAGAGAGGCAACGTAGTCGAGGACGTTCCTCTCGAGCCATTTGGAGTCACATGAGATGCTCGATTGTGACTGATTGAAGGGGTCCCCCTCGTTGGCGATGTGCATGTGGCACAGCTGGGAGAGGAAGGGGAAATGAGGAGTTTCATTGGCCTGGAACCCCAGCATGTGGGTGGTCACGTGATCCACTTTCTCCCGCGTCTCTCCGAGTGCTATTTCGACTTGTTGTGAGGTGAGACCGGAGGAGGAGAGTTGGTAGAGCTCCTGCGTTATTCCAGGGACTGATGGGTAGCTGCTCAGCTGTAGCGGGTCCCTGGACGGAGGAATGATCAGTAACTCTCCGTTCTCAGCTACTGCCATGTCCGACAGCGTCTCCCTCCACGGTTTCCGTTCAGGTCCGTGCGGTATCTCCATCGGTGCAGCCTTCCTCTACCGCCGGATCCGGATGTCGCGGCTCGTTTAACGCATGCGCATAGCACCCACCAAATCTTACGTAACAATTAACGAGAATGCGCTAGAATGACGCAAGTCCTCCAGTAGAGCATTTGCTCTCTCTTCATCCATTCTGCAAATCTGTGCATAGTCACGCAGTTGGCCCTCGATTTCGAGTGAGCGCGTGGCAAGATGGTATTTTTCCACAATCTCTTTGCACGGCTTTAAGAAACGAATCGCAAAGGAGTAAGGCTCCCTTTTCACCCAAAGATTGACTCCAATCTCCACCTCCAACTTTTCCAACTCCTTCTCAATGTTCCCGGCTGCAGTAAGATACTCAGCGACTCTCTTTGCCTCCTGCGTAAAGTCAGTAGTGGCAAACTGCGTCCAGAGAAGGATGATTGAGTAGACGTTGCGGGCTCCAGTGAGTACAGTGTCGAAAAACCCAAAGAAGTCCTTAGTCTTGCGGAGTTGGTGGCTCGAGCGGGTCATGAACACTGCCGCTGGCCAAGGAGAACCACCCCACGTGTGGAAATTCGCGGCAAGGGACGTGACAAACTCGAGACGGAAATCAAACACGGGTCCAGGTTTTTGCGGTGTCAGGCCCTTTCGATACGCCATTTCCAGGAAAGGCATGTACAACGCCGCAAGGAATCCATCCACATGGAACCAGAATCCTCTTCTCGTGACAAGTGTGTCGTTTTTGATGTGAAGCGAACGCTCGTACATCCCGTTCTTTTTGAGGATTGGAACGAGTACCTCTCCTGCTCGTTTGACGTCGTCACACGCACCCTTGAAGTGTGAGCCGTAGTTGAGAACGACAACCACAGGATGCCCCTTACCAGAGAAGAAATCGACCAGTTTTGCCAGGGCTTCAATGTCAACCGTACCAGGCCCTGCGTCGCCACCTTCACAGGGAACAAAATGAGGCCAGACACTACCAAGAGGACACTGGTCAGGATAGCGAGCTGTGCCTAACGTGTGGAAGGTTGGCATATTGACAGTGTGGGCAGCTTTACTGAAGGAGCGATGGGCTTCTGAAGTGAAAAACACTACCGGTTTGTAGGCGTTTGGAGTCTGGGTATCATACTTGCCCTGACTGTACACGTCGACTCCACGCGGATCCTGTTTGCCAGTGTCCAATGAAATATCAAACGCCTCGTCGATGAATTTTCCGCTGAGGTAGTCCCTGGCGTTTCGCAGACAGTAATAGGCTCCTTCGGTGGTGTCGATGCTCATTAGGTGACCCCAGTAGCTGTCGAGATCAGAGGGATGGTGAGGCCACTTGGCGTGCCAGAGCGAGGCCAGGAGGTCTAGCAAACTACGCTCCATCCATTTCATGCTGTGGTCGCATGGCCCGTTCACGTACGGGTCACCTCCGCCAAGAAAAAGGCGGCCGTTGGACATGTACTCTCGTATAGTATCCACACTAAAATGCGGGTCGCCTTGTGCCGAGAGCAGGAGAGCGTTTTCCTTCGAGAGATGGGCCAGGATTTCTTTCAGAGCTTTGTCACGCTGTTCCGGTGCGTGACCGGAAGAAGTGAGTTGGTAGAGATGATCGTCAGCGCCGGCCCTGCTGGCCACACAGGGATAGCTGGGCAGCTGGAGCGGGTCGGCCGATGGTGGAGATACGAGCAGCTCCCCGTCCTTCGTAACGGCCATCTCAGACACCGTTTCTCGCCAGGGAAGACGATCTGGGCCGTAAATCAACTCCGACTCCATCCTAGAATCCTCCGGCCAGCACACCACCGCGGACCGCGCGGTGTGTACGTGTATACACGTGTGTAACCGCTCGTAGTAGTACGCGCTGGTTCGTAATTAAGCGCGTAACCTTTCACCTCAAGGGTGGCGCGGCGATGGAAGACGGCGTTTTCTTTCGCGAAGTCCTCTGCAGTGGCAAAACGCTGAAGGTGAAGCAGCTCTACATAGGAGACGTGGGTTGTGTCGTGTGGGACGCTGCGCTAGTTCTCTGCAGGTTTGATTGCATTTTTTTAATCTCGGAAATTACGAAATGCATCTCAGATTCCTGGAGAACCAGCGGTATTTTCCCTGGGAGTTTTGGAGCGGGAAGAGTGTTGTGGAGCTCGGGGCCGGTACCGGGGTGGTTGGACTTGCCGCTGGAACTCTGGGGTGAATAGTTTATAATAAGAACGATGCCCAATCTCACTCTACTAGCTACCTACATACACACATCGTGGTCTGTAGGGCTGATGTGATTGTGACTGATCTGGCTGAGTGTGTGACTCTGATGAGGAGCAACATTGAACTCAACAAAGACTGCATTACTGGACGTGTCACTGCGAGATCCCTGGTTTGGTATAATGTAATCATCCTGCATTTACAATATTATTGAACATGCTCCCTTCATAGGGGGGAAGATGTGACTGATATTATTTCTCAGAGTCTAAATGTGATAGTAATGTCAGACGTTGTCTATTACAGAGAGGTATGAATGAATTGTTGTTAGTGTTTAGTTCAGGGGAGTGTGTCATATCAGTGGTGTTGCTGAGTACAGCTAGCTATATGTAGGCTGTTAGGATCCTACCTCCCCGGTTCTCAAGGCTGGGCACCCAGGGTCCTGCCTCTCTCTTTCTGTTTATATGTCTGTGCTCGGGTGGGGGGTTTGAAGGTTCTTTCTTTTCCTCTCATATTATTCTTTTAGCTAGTATAAGTTTTTCATCAATCAAGTGGTGGTTATTAGATGCCACTATCTGAGTTTTAGCTGCCTATTGCCAGTTGCTAGTAGAGAATGTCTCAGTGAATTGGGAAATGCCTGGTGTTCAATTCAAGGCTCTAGCTGCCCTGGTGAAGACACTGGTGGATCTGTCAGACAAGCAGACATTGGTAGTCATGACGTATGAGCAGAGAACTACGGGAGACAAGCCACAAATTGAAAGGACCTTTTTCGAGGTATATATACACACGCATTCAGGATAAGGATTGTGCCCACCCACCCGGGGTGGGTCGAGCTGTGGCCATAAAGCAACCTGGCTGTAGTATATATCACCACCAACTGCATAGCTATGTATAATTATAGCTACCATTGTGGACAGAGCACTAATATACTCTTTCATGATGTAAAACTATTGGTGCCATTATTAATTCGGCGACTTCACCTCAAAAGGCTCATAATAAAGCAGCGAAATTTAACTCATTTGCAGTCGTATCCATCTCTTTTGTGTGTGTCTGCTAAAAGCGTTAGAAACTGGGTGTTTATAAGCACATCTGCTCTCTTGTTTTACGGTATCTACTTCTGTTGCAGTTGATGAGCGAGCAGTTCAGTCACACAGCAGTGCCTCTTTCAGAGCAGGACCCCGACATGAGGAGCCCCGACATTCATGTCATTCTTTTCAGAAGAAAATGAGTTTATAAAATCTCGAATGTGTCGAAACTAGTTGCGAGAAATGTGGTGATACAACAAACTGAGCAACATACACGGAGCAACTATTGTTGCTTGCTAAACAGGCCATTACACTCGAGGCAACCTTTTAACAGCTCCCTGAATGAGCAGCAAACTTGCAAGTGGCCTGGGGGCCGGGAACCAGACTGGCATAATTGCGCATGCGCGGTATAATTAGCCAGCCAGCCGCCACTCCCCTAGTCAAGACTAAGTGGTTCTCGGACTGCACAACAACTGAGGATGACTGACTGGAAAACGCTGGGCCTCGGTGCAGTTGCAGGCCTAGGTGTAGCGGGAGCGGTCGCAGCAGGCTATGCACTACTAAAGAGAGGTCGGGGCCGCGCCTACAAGACGTTCAAGTCCTACCAGACCAACGACCCTCTCACTCTGTACGTCAACAGCCAGAACCGCGAGAACGCCGTCCTCGGACGCCTCCGCGCCACCTCCACGGAGCTCGCAATGGGCAGAATGACCACCGGTCAGGACGTGGGTAACCTCCTAACGCTTCTGACTCGCTCCCTGGGGGCGAGAAAGGTGGTCTCCATGGCACTCTCCCTGCCGGACGACGGAAAAGTGATTGCCTGCGACGTGAGCGAAGAGTTCACCAACGTCGCCAAGCCTTACTGGGAGGAGGGAGGGGTGGCGGACAAGATCGACCTCCGCATCAAACCGGCCACGGAGACGCTCCAAGAATTGCTGGACGGCGGGGAGGCGGGTACGTTTGATCTCGTGTTTATAGACGCCGACAAGGTCAACTATCTAAAGTACTACGAGATGGCTATGGAGCTGCTGCGGCCGGGCGGGCTCGTGGTAGTGGATAACGCCCTGTGGAGCGGGTGGGTTGCAGACCCACAGGTCCAGGACGTCCACACGAACAGCATCCGTGCCGTCAACGACAGGATGGGGACCGACCCGCGCGTGGACTACGTTCTTCTCAGCGTCTCAGACGGAATAGGTATTGCCTGCAAACGCTGACGCTCGAATTAGCTTCTAAAAGCTGGTAGGTAGGTGTGTATGATCTTTTATCATTTGTCTGAAAATCGTAAAATCACGAGTGATTGCTGGAGGTTTGTTAGCTACATTGTACCCTTATAGTCGTAAGTGATTGTGATTAATAATTGCCTGTGATTGGACTGTGATTCAGTGACCAATAGTGTTCAGGATGGGTTTAGCGAGCTACAGCTCTGTGCATTGACAAACAAAGTGTCTTGCGTGAAATTCCGGAATCTTGTTTTTTGGTAGTGGAGTGCCCTGCAAGGAAACAAGACTAGGGCATGTTGTGTGTATAAAAGGTTTTGTCTCTCAATACCTGGTTGGGAGGTCTTAGTAAGGAGACGGTGAGGCTAACAATGCTCACTGGTCTCTCACTGAACTCAGCCGACAGTGAACTCCTGCAATCAACACCCAATTACATCATCCGTGCGCTCTTGCACAATACTCGTACAATACATTATATACAGGCTCCCTATGCTTCTCAAACAGTCAACAGAGGTTCCACTGCATACCGTGAAACACTATCTACTTACGTGAGGTCTGCCGTTTTCAGGAGGGCGATCTCTCTGTAGGCCTTGGTCCTGTTCTCTGTGGCCACACTGACTGCCACGTCTGCCTTACCCTCAACTCCCTCCAGCTCCACCCTGTGTCCAGCATGCATTATCGTGCAACAAACAACTTTGTGCATCGTGTAGTGTTGCGAGCATAGTCACCCAGTGTGGGTAAGTTTATACACCACTTGATAGCCACACCAGGTGTCCAGTAGTCACCACACATACATACATACATTTTATTGCCAGTTGCGCACAATTTTGAGGAACTTGAGGAAATCTCGCGGCAGTTCAATAGCAAATTGCTTGGAATATACTAAATATACCTGCTCGCTTACAGTTGTTTACCCACAGCAAAACAACAGGGTTAATAGTCATGCCAGCAGTGAAAATACAGTGGGACCTCTGATAAGGGACCCTCCAAGATAAGGACGACCTCTCTACAAAGGACACTTGTTTCAACCCCATGCTAATACTTTAGCGTATTATTTGACCTCTGAGATAGGGACGACCTCTCTACAAGGGACAAAATCGTTGGCTCCATAGTGTCCCTTGTTCAGAGGTTCCACTGTAATGAGCCCTATTGGACTCCCCCACCTGATGGAATTGATAGAGTACGGCTGGGTGAATGTGATCATGAGCCTTGCTGTGCACCGATTCTCTGAGAACTTGAGGTACTGGCGATAGTCTGGAGTCATGGGTATGAATGGAGCTGCATGGAGAGATTAAAAGAGAGAGGAAGAACAAAGTACTGAGGGTTCCCAATTTTAGCCCTCTTCATAATTATACTGTCGTCAACACTGTCTATTGAAGAGTGCTTGGCTGCCAAAGTGTTACGCATGCTAATAAAAGTATATTACTATATAGAGTATATTATATAAACGTCCCTGCGGTGACTATTATAGCTAAAGGTCCATGATTGCATAAAACCGATGAGAGTGTGACTCCACAGTGTTATACAAAAGAGTGGTTACGTTACTGGTAGCACACACTGAGAGGTGTACTGCTTTATGTAAATTGAGTACTATGTACCGATGACTCCGTTATCTCTGAAGTTGTATGGAACTGGACCAACGTAGGAACAGCTCTGTAGATGGATCTTGAAGTTCTCTTTCCCCTTGCTCTGCAGAATCCTCACGTACCTGCACAATGTTGTTTTGCCTTTGCTTTGGCTTGACCTCACACATTGTAATGATAAAAGGCTCACATATAAGCTTCAATACTGTATATACTAACATCAACCTCCTGAATAGGACACTATAAGTGGTTTGAACTCTGGACACATAAACACGCAATAAATGAAAAGCACTAAAGTGCAAACCCTCGGCGAACTGCGCATGCACGATACTGCTAATCGATGGGGTGGGCTATTTGTACTCGTGGTCTCCCGCTAGTAGCTCACGGAGAGTCTGACACTGGATAGCTAAAGTAGTAGATATCTCTCGAACGCAGTCGTTTCAGGAAAATCGCCCTTTTACTTTTCAGGCTCGCATAGTTCTGAAGCCGCTGGTATCGCTAATAGGCCGCCTCGTAGCCTGTAGTGCCAGAATACGCGTCGACAGACAGACACACACACACACAGACAAACTACTGTAACCTTCGCTGCGCATGCGCGCTGAGGGTTAATAATATGCGAGGTTAACTCAGTGGGACTAGTGGCTGCTCACCTGATGGCCATCTTTGGGAAGAAGAGCCTCTGGACAGAGAAGCACTTGAGGCGAGAGTAGTCCAGGACCATGGTCCACAGGTCCCCATCCCGAGACACCCACATCTGCAGCCAGAGTTTGTAAAACGGCATTTTTGGCAAGCAAATGCTAGAGTTGCACACACATTCAGTGACGATTGCGAAATTCTCTCATGCGTATGCACACCCACTTTGAATCACTTAAGAGGCACTTTGAATCACTTAAGAGTTTATGGTAAGTGTGGCAACGTCAGATACGTACTGACGTAAGAATTCAGACACCTATAGGTAAGCTCCCTTCGCTCACTGATGATAGTATGGCCAAACCTGGCCTATCAGTCCAAGGTCAAATTTGTCCAACTATGCATGGTATTCTCTGTGGCTAGTATGCTATAAATATACTTTTCATGGAGCTACTCTAGCCATGTATCATTCTGTTGACATGTAGCATAAGAGAAGCAAGCTACCTTCATCTGGTTCTGCATATCGGGGTCAAACCATGGATGACTTTTCACAAAGTAAATAAATACATACGTGCGTTGTCTGCATAGCCATGGATTAACTGTACTTACACCACATTCGCCACTCTACTGTATGACATGTAACAATAGACCATGTATGTCATGTGTAAAACTCCCTAACCTTGTAGCAGAAGGGGCTGTTGTCGCGGTCTGCATCCCCAGGAGACTTGCAAACGTCGGGAAGATACCCGTCGAACATGATCTGGTTCACCAGGTACACGTTGTCGAACCGCACCGTGAGGTGGGCGGGGTCAACATTGGCGGAGAACGTGAGGGAGAAGGAGTAGTCGCAGATGGTGGCGGACTCCTCAGATCTGCCCGGAAGGAGATCCAGGACGTACTTGTAGCACGTCGTTAGTCTGGGGTCTCCCCCCTCGAACAGGTTGATATTGTCACCAGCTGGGACACACAGTAGTGAGTTTATAAAATTGACCATTAGACAGTAACGGATCTAACACATTTTTGGTGAGTTATGTAATGGAAAAATTGCACAATTCAGACGACTAGGTGGGTTTGCTTCACTTGCCAATTTCTCTGCACACGAGAGAGAGAAGGAACATCTTAGGCTTCTGAGATTAACACACAAATATAAAAGCTGTGTCCCTTCTGTTACTTACTTGTCCTCCCGCGAGTGGCAATCTCAACAGGCTCTCCTTCCCCCATGGCCGCCAGCACCCGGGCCCGGGCAAACAGCCCTGTCGGTAACACCTTTGCCTCCAGCTCAGCCTGCGGTATCTCAGTCAGTCGCACACACTCCAGCAACTCCGAAGCCCCCTCCTTCCTGACACCGTTCGTCTCCATCCACTTCCGCACGGCCTCGAAGATCTGTATCTCCTCCACCACGAACGTGTCCCGAGCGATCAGTTTCTTGAGGTTTTCTTTCGGTAGTCGCTGGAGAGCCGTGCTTGCGATGACCTCTCCAGCGTGGAGGTCCATGAAGACTTCGCACTTTTCCTGGAGGAGGGGGGCAGAGCTGGTCTTGGCATGGGAGTGAAAGAGGAGGACGTTCTCAGGAGTGATGATCTTTGACAGGTGGGACTCGATTCCGTCTTTGAGGTGGGGGAAGCCGTAGCGGTCGGCCAGAATGTGCAGATCCAGTGCCGTCTGAGTGTGTGTGTGTGTGATGAGTATGCATAGAGAAAGAACAAATTGCTCCATTCAGGCTTGCTATTGATCGGAGCTCGTCATGGCTCGTGCATGCACCAAAAAACACACGCAGTCCACTGTGTCCCCAGTGTGTAATACACACAATGGTTCTCTCCTTGGCATTATCATGCTTCCCTATGCACTGCACTGTACACACAAACGTAACCTCATGAAAAATATTGTAGTTTGCGCTGTTTTTATAGTGCCAAACCCACCAAAATCTTTACCAGCGTCATACAGATCATCATCAATATCAATTTCCCCTATATACAGTGTTACACGCATGCATGCACAGAACTCACAGTCAGGTTGATGGAAGCCACTGAACCAGAGTACACGAAACGGACCAGCTCTCTGAAGGCCTCGACTGGTGTCTCTTTGAGAGTAATCTCGGAGGCCCGCCCCTCAATCATGGGGCCGTAGAGAAGACAGTCAAAGTAGTCGGACTGCGAGGGCGAGCACGGCGCGGTTGTGCAACCGATGGCTGACCCATCACCAGGAACGTCACGTCTGTATAGAGCTGACGGTCAAACAGTTTGACCAGCCCCGAGGCAAGCCTCCCGATATGGGTTATGTCTAGCTCCAGCACCTCTGCAGGGTGGAGCAAGACATCAGGGCGGTACACTAGCATCATACTGCAGGTATTATTATACAAACTCTGTGTGTTCATACATGTTGAAAAACATCGCAGAAGCTGAGATCAGTGGGGTCTAAACCAGAGGTAGAGGAACTGAACGTCCAGACATTATTCCCCCTTGAAAAGAGGAATATTTAGCTAAAGCAAGGTTTGCACGACTCGATCTTTGCATGAAGTCCGAGTTACCCAATAAAATAGATGCGTACGGTCAAGTACCGCAAACAGTTCACTGAACGATGATGGCTCCCACACTAAACGGACCATGCCAGCTAAATCGTAAACAAATCTCGCCCACTCGTAGCTGATCGGAGCTCAGCACGGCTCGTGCAAAACTAACACACACCATCCATCGTGTTCTTACGTTCGGAGATCGGCAGCTCCATCTCTCAGCTATAGCGTCGCGGAGCGCACTTCCACGCACTCTCTGCAGCTGCAGCACCTCGCCGTGAACTGCCAACCTCGCTAGCTAGCTAGTTCCGCATGCAGTCTCTCTGCACCACACACCACGTGCACACACAGGCATGCTAGGCGCGCGCTCGCTTGCGTATATATATAGTACGTGCACCGATAGCAAAATTCGCATGTATGCACACAAAATAGATAGCTATAGATAGCTATAGATACACGAACTACTGTATAATTATATTATACTATGCACGAAAAATAAATGTAGTGATCTGATCATGTGACTGTCATGTGATCTGACAAAGATTGCGAGGACGAGGAGGTGGGGTCTTGACTGGACTCGCTGCTGTGGCCGGAGGTCGGAGGAGGTTGGCTGGCGTCATCAGCATTCGGTGATGATTCCAGGGGCTTCTCTTTATCAGTGTACTTCTGAAGTTCAGCAGTTAGCATCAACACATTCTGCAACAGAAATTATTGGTACGGACGGAGATGGACTTCAACAACCACACATAAACAAAGGCACCCCAACAAATTTTTACCAATTATTCGTAGGTAAGGCGTTTGCTTATTACTTGTTCCATAAATTATTATCTCAAAAGTTATTTTCATTGTAAATACATTATATATGTACTGTAGCAGTGATGTATCTACCTCTTGAAGGTGAATATTTTTGGTGAGTGTGAGTGATGTCCTCCAGTGCTCGAGCTGCAATTTCTGTTGAACTCAGTGAGGGTTGTGTTAGTGTGCCTCTATACTGGGTGCTCCACGACCTCTATTGGAGACTATCTTGTCAGGCCACCCAACCGTCCCGCGCAGAGGTGGTGTGTGTGGGGTGTATGGAGAAAGAAAACAGATTTCCTCTCTGAAATTGTGCATGATGGGGCTAAGATTTATGGATGGCACTGCAAAAACTCGTCCGGGGATAAGGTAATTACGACATTAGCCCACTCAAGAAAAAGCTGCAAGAAGAAAAGTCTAGTTGCAAGTGATGACAGTTTTTTTCCCTATTGACAAGCAAGAAAGCATATACACCCTAATACCCAAATAGAATGGGAAAAAAATGAATGCATATATTGGGTGTTGCATGTCCTAGTATGGTTAGTCGAACTGTCCAGCTTCAACTTTGGTTGTTGCCTTCAAAAAACATTAATTTTGCGGTCGACTAGACTCAGCTGCCGCATTGT